ACAGATCAATTTAAGTATCCACAATAGGGTGCTTCAAAAACAATTTTTTTTTTAGCTCTTACCCTCTCAAATGTTTCCTCACCAAAGATGAGCCCTGTAGCTCAACTTTAAGGGGTTTTAGTTTCAGATTTAATTAACATGGAAAAATTCTTTTTCACTAAGATTAAATTTACGTATAATGTTCGTGATTTTTTACAATTTCTATTGTTAGAGTTGAGTCTTTAAGCTTTCCAAAACCGTGAGTATGATTATGATTAAAAGAAGATTAATTACAGCAATTTAAAAATGACTAAATTTTGAACTTTTCAGAAATAGCTTCTAATGATTTTTTATCTACATAATTTTTCAAAATGTTTATCCTAATTAATAGTCAGCGTTCTATTTGTATTTATTTCAAATTTTAAAATGGTTGTCAGTCCTTCCTATGTTGCACTCCATTCATCGTCATTTATTTCTCCCTTTCTCTTTTATTTGTATTGTTGTTCCTTTGCATGTTATCCAAACTTCTACTGTAATTCTTGAGAGGACATGGTGTCGGTTTAACCTGATTATATCCCAGAGAGCGAATAAATACCGGGTGCGTACGATATTTGACGACAAATTGATATTAAAATTTATTTACTCATATTTATTGCAAAATCACGAGATGCCCGAATCATATTGATCATTGTGGTTGTTATAACATCCTCCTAATCAAGGGGGTTAAGATCCGGGGAACCAGGTGGCCCTTAGTGTAGGGTGATGTGCCCATAAAAATGTTCGACCATTCAATCTTGTGTCTTTTCTATGATTCAGAGTTTGTGAGGACATGCAGGAAAAAATTGTTCTTCATATATTACAGCCACATATATCGATGCCCTCAAATCCCGTACGCACCCTATAAATAAATTTATGTAGACCTAGACCTAGAGATAATCATCCACTTATTGTACCAAAATCTACTTTAAACTTAGGGCTTGCAACTTAACCGACACCGATGCACAGGAAATGATCGTAAATGTGATCACATGAAAACCGAGCTTCTTGTATTTATGGTTAGTTGCTGAAACGAAAATGTTAATGACCAATCAAATAACAACAATATTTCAACACTTAGTTAAAACTGAAACACAAAAACGCAAATGCAAAGTCCAAAGTGTGGTCAAAAATGATATATCTACAACCGAATACAACTAACCAAAATATATCTACAAAAACATATGAGTGTGTCGACCAAAAAAAACTTGTCTTCCCCAAATTCAACACTTTCTGCTACGAAATTTAATTTTATTAATAAATTGAGTAAAACAACAGAACAAAAAAAACAGTGCAGGCCATGTTATTATATCTCTTCTTATTATTATAAAGCTTTTGCCTTGTACTCTGTAGTCAGACACGTAGCTAGGAAGATGAGCTGCAGCTCTCATTCCATCGTATGGGGGACGTCCAGGAGGTCTGCTCGGTCTTGGGAAACCATCTCTTGCAATTTCCTGCAGTTTGTGGTCATCCATCAGTTCAACATGATCTCTTCATTCGCGCCTTCTGTTTTGGGACCATCGTACCATATCAAGGATACCGTAAAGTTCTTTGATGTCTTCGCTTCTTTTGTGGTCGCTCAGTGTGTAGCCTGTCATAGATCTTAAAGTTCTCATTTCCACTGTTCGGACGATTCTTTTTGCTCTCGAGTTGTCGAGTGTCTATGTTTTGTTATGTTTGTTTCGCCATATTACATCTCGCAGGTACTCTGCTATTAAGGCTGCCTTGGTTGTTTGGCATTTTGCTTCTTTTTGGAGACCTCTGCTGTTCGTGATGCTGACGCCGAGATATAAAGCTAATTTACATCTTCTCCATGTTGTACTTGGAGGCGATGTTTTCGAACTGTAGGTTCATCTTCAGTTATAACATGGCATCTTCCGCATAGCAAATTATCTTAATTTCTTTGTCCCCTAGTCGGTAACCCTTTGAAATTTTCTTCTCTTCAGATATTAGCTCATCTATAATCAGTTTGAAAAGGCTCAGGCTGTGGCCTTGTCTTATTTCTGTCTGCATGGGTATTTTACGTGTTTTTCTGCCCTCCACTTGTATTTGTCGGTATTTAACTCAACTACGAACTTTATTAAGTCTGGTGCACGTCTTTTAAGCCGTCAAATGCTTTTGTGAGATCTATAAAACACATATACACTGTTTTACTGTATTCTATAGACTTTTCAGCAATCTGCCTGATTGCAAAGATGACATCTATTGTTGATATATTTTTTCTAAAGTCTTGTTGCTCTTCACCCATCCCACCAGAAGATATTTCGTCCGATAGGATTTAAGTCAATAACTTCAGTATTGAGCTTAACAGTATGATTCCCCGCTATTTTACTGGGTCTTTTCTGCTTCCTTTCTTAAATATCAGTTATTACTTTGTTGGTCTTAATTATTTTGTTAAAGAATAGGTGAAGTTCATTTGATAGTTCCTCTTCTCCGTACTTCAGTAATTCAGTACTTCGTTGGATATTTGATCTTCTCCTATAGAGTGGCGGTTTTTTAGTTTGATGATTGTTAGTTCAATTCTTTGCTTAGACACGGTCCATGGTTCCTGAGGGATGCTAAGGTGTTATTATATGAACGTAAAAATATTACTTGTCAAGCGTCAACAGTCACATTACGTAACCACAGTTTTATTCCCTGCCATTCAAGCCAAGAATACTGGTAAAATTTTCTAAAAATATGTTCCTACTTTTTATTTAGCACTAATGACGAAGTCGCAGAATCTCTTTTTAAATTATTGTTAATATTATCCTCTCTTCCCAACATAACAAGGATTTTATATCTATAACAGCGATTTTGTAAGATATCCATGAAACGATACGAACGTTTCAGATTAAAAAAAAAAGAAAAACGAGTTTTCTTCCCCCCTAGATTCGCGGCTTTAGACAAAACAAATTAAATCTTCGCGGCTTGCCGTTTCTAGACGCTCTAAACAACTCCCGAGACCATAAACAAGCGAACATTACGGCGGCTCCTTTCGACGTTAGGTTTTTTTTATTTCATATTTCAAGGCTCCTTTAGACGATTCCCCCAACCACCCGTTTTGTTTTCCGCCCTCGGGTGTCGCGCCATGTTCCCATCGTAAATTTTCCGAAATTGTTCGAGTCTGTGTGTCGTATATAGATACGTATATAAAGGATAGGGACGGCATCTGCACTAAAGCAGTGCTGCGTGTATGATTTTCCGTATCCGAGGCGCATCGCAGGTGTGATATTTAGCACCGCAGGATTGAAGCCTTGCCGTCTCATCAGGAGGCAGGAATTTGGTCTTACAATTTGGATGAAATACAAATGAGAGACAACAAATGAGACTGCGGTACATCCAAGAAACGAACTTGAGGAACAAGCTGGCATCGCAGAAGTATCCCCTACTCGGGGACGTGATTCCCTTCAACCAGGCCCTTCCGAAATGCAGTTAGAAAGAAAGGTTTCGAAAGAACCTCCTAAAGGAAAACTAACATCTGTTCCTAATATAATATCAACGATGAAGAACGCTCGAACTAGCCTAATGGGGAACTTAAATTCACCAACTCACATGACTCGTATTCGCCAGAAGAAGCAAAGAGAAAAACAAATACCTTAGCCATCCAAGCCGAAGAAAGAAAAACATTCCAAACAGAAAGCATCAAAGTCTACAGAAAAGGTGTTTACAAAATACGCAAGCGCGAGTCTACCTCTTCATAATCTGATGAAGATGTAACCTTGGATGATTTGTCTGGTGGGGAAGAAACCTTTGATGACCTCGAAAATCAATGCGTTGGTTATTTCGACGATTATCGCTGGTTGGAATGCGTCCTCCTACACCAACATATGCCAACTATGTGGTGTGGCGTCGGTGGTTCATCTCTGCTTTACGTTCTAGGAGAGATGGGGGCCAATTTAAATTTTTATTATTTTATTTTTTATAATTATTCATTCTGTTAGGTTAGCCTTTAAAATGCGCCAAATAAATAACCAAACACTTTTTTGCAGAGCCTAATTCGAATAAATAAAAAAAGCTTTTTTAAAGTTTTTCAAAAGGTGGCCCATATCTCCCTGACTTAACCCTTTGAAAAAGAATCTGTATCTACCCCCCTCCCAATTTCAACCCCCGAAAGCCCGATCCTCAGGCCGACGGCCGAGAAGACTCTAAAATATTCCGACCGCCTCTTCGATATTGACCAAATCTAGATGAAACTTTAATCGAGACATAAAATGTAAAGCCGGACTGGGGAATTTACGACGGGACGGGGACGTTTTTCACCGATTAAATATTTAACCTGCCGTTCCGGCCGTCCCCGCCCACTAATATAATAAAAGACGTACGGTTATCAACGGGGCGTTTACTCGAAATTTTCAATCTTGATACACACCTAGGGGTGGGTGGAGCTTGTTAGGATTTTTTGTGGCTTTTAACCAGCAAGTCGATTTATTTTTGACAAACTTTAACTAAACTTACCCAAATTTTTTGCGAAGCCGTCGTGCCCCACTCACCCAAATTTATAATGTTATATATAACAATTATAATTATTTATTAAAAAGTATTTAATAAAAAAAAACGGTACTGATTAGAAACTATTTTTCTATAGATTAAAAAAATTGTTTTTGGTATTTATAAGATTTTCGAAAGCTCTGGCTTTAGGCGACATCTATAGAATTATCCAATAAATAACACTTTCAATAATCTAATTATAGCTTTTTTTTTGAAATTTTCAGCGGTCCATTTTTCCCCTGATATTAAGCAAAGGGCTAAAAATGTACAAATAATCAGAATCTATAATCATTGGAAGAAGAAAAAATTTGGTTAATTTTTGAGGGGGGCCGCCGTGCCCCACCCGCCCATATATTATCGAACAGGATTTAAAAGACCAAAAGGTCAGCTACCCTTTCTCGATCATACGGCGTGTACAGTGTGATCGAAACTATGAATGATAGAAAGAAAAGATAACTAGAAAAATTACAGGCTCTAATCTAATTCTTTTATTTTTGTATTTGTTATACAGAAAAATATTAAATACAAAAGTTATAGATTAAAATAAACAATTTCAAATTATTTTCAAATATACATGATGATTTACAAATACGTGGGAAATCAAACTTATATTTTAAATATCATAATTATTTATTTAAAGAAGAAAAAGTGGGTTGCAGTACAAAATACGAAATTTAATCTAAAGTCTAACTAACATAAGCATAACAAGAGAATAGGAAAAGACTAAAATTAATAATTATAATTAATAGAGCCATATTCGGAGTACATTGAGAAAATGGGAGAAACTTTTAAAACATTTGTTCTTGGTGTGGCCAGAAAAAGGTGTTACTATGTCTAGAGTTAATATGAGGAAACCAGCAAATTTACTCTAAATAACAGGTCAGAGCAATCGAACAAGTTATTAACAACTGTAAATAAAGTCCTTAAATAATTATAATCATCAAGCAAAACCATTTAATAATATCGTATCCGAAAAGCCTTATGGGGGATATACTCCATCCAATTTATACCATGCATACTTCAAAAATTTACGCCGAATTTTTTGCAGGCTATTAAAAGATAATTGTAACCGAGAGACCAAAGTACGAATACATATTAAAAATAAAACCTGACGTATGAGTTACATAATATTCTTATCACTTTCGTATTTTTAAAATCCTGTTTTGAGCTTGTTGAGGCCTCTGCCAGTACCTCATTAACATGTCCCAAGTCACAAAAAGTGGGAACGGGTGACATTTTTTATCAAAAAGAGACCTTCGTACAACATATACTTGACGATTTAGAAGCAAAAATATTGCAGCAAGTATTACACAGGGCAGCGTACTAGGGCCAATATTATTTCTTTTGTATATTAACAACATTACAGAACTGTATGAAATTGGTCAAAATTGTAAAATCACAAAGTACGCCGATGATACCAATGTTTTAATTGTAAATAAGGACACCCCAAACCTCAAAAACTAGGCTGAGAGATTGAAGCGGAAAATTGGTTTGGTAAAAATAAATTAGTTATTAATAATGCTAAGACTGCTGTAACAAGGTTTAGAACAAATCGATCAAGAGTTGCAGAATGTTCTTGGGTGTGTCTTTGGATAGCACCTTATCATGGGAAAATCATGTAAATAATGTAGTAGATACGTTAAATAACGTAATATATAGTCTTAGGCTATTACGTAGGAATATTTCATGGGAAACAAAAAAAAATGCTTTATTACAATAATTTTAAGACACATAGGTATGAGATACGGTCTTGTTACATATGGAAATTGCAGTGACATAGAAATAATTTTTATTTGCCAAAAGAGAGCCCTGTGAACTATAGAACTATATCGCAGTTAAGCGTTCGAGAATCATGTAGGGGAAAATTTAGGACAAATAAAATTTTAACTTTAGCTGCAATTTTCGTACTGTTCATTTTTGAAACCAGAAACCTTTTTGAAAATAGTTTGTCTCAGGAAGCTTATGGGACAAGAACCATGAATTACACACATCCCAGGCACAGACTGACCATGAGTGAGAAGGGTGCGTATTATGAGTGTATTAGTTGTTATAATTGTTAATTATTTAATTAGTTTTTAATTTACTCGTAGAAATTGAACCATAGAGTGTAGAAGAAGACTATAGATTTACTCAAAATATGTAGGAAAACCATTGTAAATAACACTATTTCAATGTACTCGTAATTATACTTTGAAATAATAAGGAGATTTATCACTCGTCCAAAAATCTCACAACATCATGACACAAAATTCCGTTTGAAATACCATAATCAATTCTACTACCAAAGAAAAATCCCAGAATCAAACGGGAGGTATGGCTTTAACCAAAATTACTTTATTAGATTTCATTTTTATTTCATCTGTAGCAAGGCCAATTCAATGAGTTTATGAAATTGGCAATATCACAAGAGTAAGATCTTTTAAAAATGTTTGTAAATTTGAGCTATGACCGAAGATAGCAAAAAAAAGCCACCTGCAACAAAAATCTGTTAGACACGAGACATCCCGAAATTTGTAATTGAAATAATGGCTCTCGTACCCCTTCGATTAACTTTAGTCAAGAGTTTTGCAGCCTTTTAACTACTGAATATTGATTTAACTGACAAAACCAAGGAGTTACAGAGAAGTTTAAATAAAGGAAAAAGTGTTGTTTTCATGTTTCAACTGCTCTCCTAAACTTATAAGTAAGTTTATAGCCTAGATACTGGAGGCGGTTTTTGCACAAATTGCAAAATTGCAATGGCACATCGTCAACTTTAAAAAAAATAATTATTCTACCTTTTTTCAACATGAATGACATCCATCGACATAGCAATTTGTGTTATGTTAAGGGCTCGAACCGCTAAGCTTTTATTTTAACGTGGACGCCTGATGAATCCGACGAAAACATTTGAAAACAACTCGATACAAGCCCTTCCCCGTCAGTCCTCGTAAAACCAGTTCTCCAAGCTCGATTTCCACCCGACAATTTCGTCCGCGTCGAACCATAAGTCGATTTCCCTTTCCGCCGAGACGATCGAGTCGGATCCGTGGATCAGATTTCGTCCGGACTGAAGACCGAAATCGCCGCGGATCGTTCCGGGGGCGCTCTCCGAGGGGTTGGTGGCTCCGATGAGGCGGCGTCCCATTTTCACCACTCCCGGACCCTCCCATACCTACAGGGGACCATTTGGTCAGTTACAAACGGTGCCAGTGGTTCCCAACATTTTTTACAAGGCACCACCGTTCACCTCCAACCATTATATTTTATTATTTAGTAATATATTGGTTAGTTCGGACTACATATACAAGGTGGCGCACACGGGCGACCTCTCTTGGGGAAACGGACCACCCAAGAATTGTACAATGTGAAGTGAAAGTCCGATCAGGCCAATTGTGCGTTTAACGTCATAGCACGACAACTTTATTTAGTTCAAAATATAGCCTTTATTTTAAAACCTGCGGATTTAAAGAAAAAACTAATAAAACAATAACTAATATTTCAAAACGTGGCACTGGAAACTTTTGCCCCTAAAACGTGGAAAAATTTCAATAGACATACTAGACACTAGCGAGTTCAGTGAAAATATTCAGGACAAAAATTCATAATATTTAATTATTAGTATTTACAAATGCTGAACATAACTTGTATGTATTTGACCAATGAGCAAAGGAAATCGAGTTGTTAATATCCATGTCTAAACACAAGCTCTGAAACATTGTCTAAAACGTAAGTACCAAATGCCACAATGTTCACAAAATAAATTATTTTGATTGTAACTAACGGCCTAGACATTCCTTACAAACTATTTTAAAAGCAATATCTAAAGCGTCTGACAAAAACAAATTAACGTCAGAAGCGCTTACGTCACTAAATAGTAATTTTAATCTTTTGGGGTGTGTTTAAAAGCTTTCTTAATAATTCCCAATTATAAAATTTCATAATTTGCAAACCACGAAAGGAAAAAGTTTGCGAATTCCGAGGAATTAAAAATAATTAAAGACTTTCTGGACGAATTCCGAAGAAACTCAGAAGAATTTCAAAGAATTACAAATAATAAAAGAAATTCCAATGGAATCCAGATGAAATTCGAGGTGTTTAGGGCAATTGTAAGTAATTGAAGGGAATTCCGAAACATTAAAAGTAATAACAGATATTCATGAGGAATTCCAAATTCATTCAGACAAATTCCGAAAAAATTTAAAAGAATTTTGAGGTATTTCGAGCAATTGCAAGTAAAAATTCCAAAGAAATCCACAATAATAAAACATATTCCGGTGGAATTAAATAGAAGACGTATTCCAAGGAAACATAATTAGAGGTTTTAGGAAGGAATTATATAAAAAATCCAAGATAAGCTCGAGGAATAATAAGTAATTAAAAGCTTTCTGTAGGAATTTAAGAGAAATCCAGAAGAGCTCCAAACATTTTTGGAAGAATTTCCATGAGTTGCAGAGGAATTCAGTAATGTTGTAAGTTATTCAATGCCTTCCGCAGGATTTCCAAAAAAAATCAGAAGAATTCCGAAGGCTTACATGTAATAAAAGGTATTCTGCAGGAATTTCAATTTCCATATATTCAGAGAAAGTCATTTGGAATTACAATGAAATCCAGAAGAATTCCGAGGTATTCCGAAGACTTCGCGTAGGAATTCCGAAGAAACTCAAAAAAATTTCAAAAGATTACAAATAAAAGAAATTACAATGGAATCCAGAAGAAATTTGAGGCATTTAGGACAATTGTAAGTCATTGAAAGGAATTCCGAAAAAATCCGAAGAAATTCAAAAGAAGACTAAGTTTAAGTTTAAGGCATTTTGGAGGAATTAAAAAGAAATCCGCAATAATAATTACGGTGGAATTAAATAGAAGAATCGGAATGTATTCCAAGCAATCATAATTAAAAGTTTTGGTTAGTTTTGGTTAGTTAGATACAAAGAATCCAGGATGAGTTCGAGGAATTTCAAGGAATAATAAGTAATTAAAAGCACTCCGGAGAGAATTCCAAGCATTTTGAAAATAATTTCAATAATTCCCAGAGGAATTCAGTGAAATTGTAAGCTATTCAAGGCCCTCAGAAGAATTCCGAAGGCATACATGTAATAAAAGATATTCTGGGGAAATTCCATATATTTTCGGAAAAACTCCCGGAAATCCAAGAGAAATCCAAGGAGAGCTAAAAGAATTCTTCTGTAATTTGATGGTACTATAGGTAATTATAGGAATGCTGACGTAGTGTGTTGTTTCCTCTACTAACCATAGGCACTACAGGTCCCGATCCGACGTACTCGATCAAATTGGCGAAAAACGCTTTGTCAGCCAATTCGGCGTAGTGGTTCCGCAAGAGACACTCCGACGCCCACGTGTACTTCATCGCTACCAGCTTGAAGCCCTTGTCTTCGAACCTGGCGATCAGACGTCCCACCAGACCGCGTTGAACCCCGTCAGGCTTGACCATCACGAAGGTCCTCTCGTGGTCTTCGCGTGGGAAGCTTCGCAAACAAAACGCAACGTCGCAGTGCCAAGTTGCAAAGAAAATTTTCTAACGAAGAAAGCCAAAACGCTAACAACATAGTGAATTATTTATACGCTGTTTGCTAGATAGAGAGGCGGCGCGCGGGGATGGGTATTTTTATATTGCAAGTGAACCTTATTATCTTCATATTTTAAATATTCTGTTATCACAGGTAATCAGACGTCGGTAGCAAGGCAAGAAGACCACGTCCTCAAGCATCCCCCTCCAAGACTGATGGAATTATGTCCGCTGAATTTTACATTAGACGGTAAGTATTTTCACATTACTCGTTTTTAACCATTTGGATAGCGTTTAATTGTGTTAGCTTGATGCGTACAACACCGCAAAAAAAAAACGCACAAATTATCTCTTCAATCGAAAGTGAACTTCGCCAGCGACCTGTTGCTTGACAACTGGATATGACACGCGCAGCAGTTCGGAGAGTATGGCAACGGCATGAGGAGACTGGATCCTTTGTTAGGCGCCCCAGGCAGAAGGCGAATTACAACGGCTTATTGTGTCAACAATACTATGAAATTGTCACCTCAATGCGGTTCAAATGCAACAATAACTCCAGTGAGAAGAAAACTGAAGCAAAATAACCTGCCAACCAAAAACAACTGCAATTGGTCCAAAATTTACTCCAGCTCATCGACAAGCACGCCTACGCTTTGTACGGTATCATCTGAATTGGATATTGGACCAATAGGGATCTGTTCTGTTCTCAGATGTTATTAGGGCATTATTAATAGTGTTAAGTTGTTAATTGTCAATAACTAAACCTATCCTAAACCAACAATGCTAAACATAAAAAGCAAAAATAAATTTCAATCAATTTAAACTCGTACAAAACTTCTGGATCGAAGCATCGAAGGTGGTAGAGTTGGATATATCAACTATATATGTGGTATCTCTTTCTTAACTGATTGCAGTTTCAGTCAAACTCTGAAGAAGCCATCAGGATGATTGGCGAAACGTCAGCTATTTCGACTAAGCAAAAACCGACGCAGGAGGAATCTAGAAGTTTTGTAAAAAGCATCACAGTAGCCTGTGGAAGTTTCTTTGAAAAAAAGAATGCTTTATTATTCCGTGTATATTAAATTTCTATACAATATAAATACGAATACAAGTGGGCCTTTATTATTGAGAAAGGGTCACTTCTTAATGATAGAATAAGGCAATTTGAACTATTTAATAAAAAGGAATTTTTGGCAATAAATATTATTATTCCGTGTATATTAATTTTTTTGACAGAATACACAAACGATAGATAGATAGATAGTTTTATTCACAAAGCCCAGTATGTATACAGTGGATGTTTCGTCAGGAAACTAGTACATTATAGAGTAGTATTAAGATACATGGAATTATGTATATAAACAATACGATAACACAAATTTAACAGTACAGTTTAGAACCATTGCAAAAGGATATACAAACAGTACAAACATATTGACAAAATGTAGAGAAAATATCACTAAACTCATCAGGGCACTCCTGTAATATACGTTTCAAATTCTTTCAGGTCGTAGAAAGCATTGGTTGACAGAAGCTTTCTGATGCACTTTTTAAATTGATTTTTTGAAGAACATGTGGTTCAGTCTTGGCTTTAGAAGGTGTTCTCTGCTTCGGGTGTTATAACCGTGGACATCCGTGTGTTTCTTGTGAGAGCCTTTATTTTTATGAACGATGATGAATAATTTAAATAAATATATGCAAGGCACTGTTAGTATTTTATACTTTATAAATATATCTTCGCAGGATAGCCTCGGTGGCAGTCTGAAAATCAACCTACGTATCCTTTTTTGCTGAATGAACACCCTCTCCGCATCACTCGCTTGTCCCCAGTTTGCGATATTATATGAAATAGACGAGTATGCTGAGGCGTAATATAAAGTCATCAATGATCTTTCAAAGAAAGAATCTCTGATTGTTAACATTGCAAAAAACGTTTTGTTCAGTTTATTACAAACACTATCTATATCGTAGTCCCACTTTAGGAAGGCATCGATGTAAGATCCGAGAAACTTTGTTGTGTGGTTTAGCTCCACGCGTGAACCCGCAAAGCTGAACACGCTAGGTTAGTCAGAGGTTTAACATACTGACAAGTGAATTCGATCGCAACTGTTTTTTTCCAAATTTATGATCAAACTGTGCCACAACACTAGAGAACCTATTGATCAGCTCCTGAGTTTTCCTTTCGGAGATGAAGATGGATGTGTCATCCGCGTACATAAAAAGGCGGCAGCTGCTATTGAGGAACTCAGGAAGGTCATTCACATACAGAAGAAAAAGTAGTGGACCTAAGATTCCTCCCTGGGGCGTGCCTAAGTTGACGTTGAACGGTTTCGAGTACATTCCGTTGACTTTATTTCCCTGTTCTTCATATATGATATTATCCAACTATTGATATTACCTCGAAACCCCAGGCATTCTACATTCCCACAACTGTCTCATCCATGTCGAGTTTGTCGTAGATATACTAGACAAATTCATTAGTCCCCGTTTCCGTTGAGTAACCAACACGGAAACCATGTTGCACATTCGATATAATGTTTTCTTGCTCCAAAAAATGTGTCATTCTGTCGTACATGGCCTCTTCGAGTATTTTAGAGAACCAACCTGCGATTGTTATAGGCCTACAATTCTCTATTAGCTCAGAGTCTCCCTTTTTGAATACAGGAATCATTTTTGATTTTTTCAATGCCGCAGGGAACTGCCCGCAGAGAACGGACGTATTGGTAATAGTAGTTAAATATGGAGCTAAAACATCTCCACAAGTTTTTATGAGTTGTATAGGTATTTCATCGATTCCAACAGATCACTTGTTTCTATCGGTGTATGGCATGAAAAACATACTCTTTCCCTTGGTGGTTGGAAGAGTGCCAGTTTCATCTTTAGTGAACATAGTATCGGTTTTCGACTGCACGTGAGTGGCAAAAAATTGTCCGAATTCATTTGCTATTATGTTATCATTAATTACATTGACATTATTAACATTTATTCGTATACGGCGTTGAGTTTTTTTCTTACCCAGCTTCTCGTTGACAAGCTCCCACATTTTTAAGTGGCTCTTTATTGAGAAAGAGTCACTTCTTCATAATAGAATAAGGCATGATATTACAGGATGCGGATTAAGACCAGCAACATTTTCACATTTTAAGAATTATTTAATAAAGAATTTTTGGCAATAAAGATTTATTATTATTATTATTCCGTGTATATTAAATTTCTTTGACAGAATACATGAACGATAGAAATCCGAATATAAGTGGCACTTTATTGAGGAAGAGTCATAATAGAATAAGGCATTTTGGACTAAATGAGTTAACGAGTAAATGGAAGAACAGCAACGTTTTCACATTTTAAGAATTATTTACCCTACCCTGGGTATATACAAACAGATTGATCAACTTTGATTTGTATTTTTCACATCAGTCAGAAGCAAAAATTAATCGTTATATACAAAGGACGGTCCCCAAGATATGACGCGAAAGAGCGTGTCCCCGGAAGACCGTCAGCAATTTAACTTTCGAGAAGTTTTTATCCGCCAGCACCTCGGAAACTTTTCGGATACTCCCGGAGTTTCGGTTAATTTAGACAAGTTGTTAAAGCACATTTCACTCTATCGTTAACGGTTACGAACTTCGAACCGACATGCAAAAGCAAAACAAAACTTCGGGGGCTGCTGTGTCTCACCTGGGAAAACGACGTACTTTTTTTTTTAATCGAATAATCGAGTAATCTGATTTGATCCAACTGTTTTTTTTCGATATTACAATTATAATTAATTTATATTGCATTCGAGCCAATCGATTTTCTTTTTTTATTCTACCCCAATTTTTGAAAACGTTAGATAAGACTATTGTATATAATATTTTGAAATTCAAAGTGTTCCAACAATGATAAATTGACGAAAAAAATGTCCAAACACAACAGGGAAAATCCAAAACTGTCGATTTTGAGACCACGTTGCCTTTTAAGTTATTGAAGTAGTTCTAAAAATAAGCTTTTCAGTTAAAGCTATTTTGAAAATTGAGTTTAAAATTTAACTTTTTTCATATTTTATTTTGATTTGTAGCAGTAGGTCTTGATATCACACAATATCCAAGTAAACAATTCAATACATTAATAATATTAATAATAATAATAATAATAATAATAATAATAATAATAATAATTATAATAATAATAATAGATATACAATTTAACCACTTATTGTAATGTAAACATTAAATAAATATTAATACAAACAAACACTTATATTCAAGGAATACTAAGTTAAAACTTGACCAGTATAAAAGTAATTTTTTTGTCCATGCATTTTTATTTTATTTTTATTCTTTTACCTCTTTTTGATGGGCCGTTTGTTTTACACTTATCAGTTGAGTCAACCCAACCCTTTTCCGGGGTATCATAAGTGTCGAACCAGGTTTCATCCATGTAAATAATTGCCCTTTGTTGTTCTCTATAAATCCTAATTTTTTCTAGATATTCCAGTGGCCATTTCCGAATTCTAAAAGATTCCATTAAAACTAACCTTCGGTCAATTTTTTAAAATCTAAAACCCATGTGTTGAATAAAACTTCCACAAAGTAGTTCTGCCACATTTAACACCGGTTTCATCTTTTTCAGGCCTCCTAATTAAGATATCTAATATACTTTCATCTACACTCTAGAAAATGTCAACCTCGCTTCCTCACTCACTGAAATGGGATTATTCACAATTTTCCACACAGTTGATGTTGGAATTTTCGTCAATGTGGCCGTTTCTTCTAAAAATACTTGCTTACTGGCATCACGTTCAATGAGAGTCAAATAAACATTGTCTATAACTTCCTTAGTCTCAATAGAATAGTGTTTTCTACATGTTCTGAGATACACTAGACTCCCACATGTTTTGCATAATTCGCACACGATTCAACACACGCTGTACTACACACGAAATAAGAATGGTTACTAATAAACTTAAACTAAGTAGTATACCAAACCAAAGAATATTAAACACAGGTAGGTATAAAATTATTTTCTATTACGGACCACAATTTTACCTGAATTTAAATTCCGAATCTTTAGGTAATAATCTTGTTGCATTGTATGTTAATGACCACACTTGGATAATCCCATTCAAAAGCAATTGGTCACTTTCTTATATCTATGAACAGACCATACCGTTCGATATTACTCAGCATGAAAGAGGTAGCGGTACTTCATCGAGAGTACAGCGGTCCTTCTAAAGAACGAGTGAACACGTGCGGGCATGATAGATCGAAAGGTCTGAACTCAACATGAAATAGGAATAGGACGATTTATTTACTAAAGTCATATAACGACGGCACCTTGGCGCCATATTTAGTTTTAAACAAATTAACGCTTTACACCACCACCGAGAGTTCATCTGAAATTTATAGAAATCACGAAACTATGCGCCCCCACCCCCCTTCAAATAAAGCGGTAATCTC